CTGCTGCAGTTCAGTTGAGCTGAGCAGAGCTGCGCTGAGCTTAGTTGAGCTGAGCTGAGTTCGAGTTTGGTGTTCAGCCAGTTGCTTTTGTTGATAGCGCCAATTTTCTGGCCAATTTTCCTTTGTATGTGTGTGTGTATGTGAGTGTGCGCGAGCAAACAAACAAATTTTCTCTTTTTGTTGTTTTGAAGAGTTCGACAACGACGGCAGAGTTTTCCATGTCATTTTTATAGATATGCATGTGCGCTCCATTTATTGGCCATTTGTTAGGGCCATTTTCCAAATCAATGCACAAATTGTCAAGCCAGACAGGGAGTCTATTGTTTTTTTTCTTTGGCGAAAATTGGCAACACACAAATTGTTGTTGTCGTGGTTGTTGTTGCTCTTGTTGCAGTTGCTCTTGTTGCTGTTGTTGTTGCCTCGCGTAGTCGTCTCTTAAATTGCACATGTGGCAGTCAGCTCATTTGTCAAGTGGCAAATCACTTTAAAGGCCAGACGAATGGCAAATGCAGCACAAACAACAAACGGACGAACAACAAACGAACAACGGACGAACAACCAACAAACAATGATAAAAATCAACTTTGCATTTTGCATGTATTTTCAGCTGGTTTGTGTCTTCGCTTTGATCGTTCGGCGCTGATTGCTGATTGCCGATCGTGACCGATCGACGGCATTTCCCACGCAGTTGCTAGAAAAGAAAACTTTTGCCAACAACAACAACAACAACAACAGCAAGCTGAGCAGATGCCGCTTGTACACGTAATTTTAGCAGTCAGCTCCACAAAATTTCTTGTACTCGAGTTTGTTAGAAGTTCTCTAATGGGCTCAAGCTGGAGCTGGAGCTGGAACTCCTCCTCCTCCTCCGGCTCCCCCTCCTCCTCCTGCACCTCTCCCTCGTCATCATCGTCGTCGTCGCTTCGCTCTAATGGCTTTTTAATGAACGCCCGACAACAGGGCGGAGAAATTTGTCAGCGCAACGTGCAAATTGAAACTAAGTAAGCTAACTTAAGCGTATTAATTATGAGTGTCGCAGCCTAGACTAGGCCGGTAATCAAGAAGCTAAACCTTAAAGCGAGCATCGCACCTTGCACACCCTGTGGCAGCACTGATAGGGCACATCTTATGGATCCAACGTGATTAGGCGCATATATTGGGTGAGAGTAGCAAACTTTGCTACTTATGGTGTTATAGGTATTCAAGAGTTTAACAAATTTTTTATATAGGAATTAGCTTCACAACTGATCGTTAAAAAGTTTCCTATATCCGTTATAGGGTATCCAATTTAAAAATAAATTTTTCCTATAATTTTTTACATATATTGAAATATTGCTTACATATCTTAAATAATTAAAAATACAGTCGATCCTCAATAACAAATTTATATCCCCTTGATAAATATATTGTCTCTATAATTCTTGCTAATTTGTATTTCTATGCAAATTGAAAAAAACTGAAATCTTAAACCTACTATACGAGGTATTAAAGTCATTCTCTAAATATTAATTATTTATATATAATTTTATAATATTATATAATTATATAATATAAATATTCGAACGAATATATAATATAAGTATTCGTACAAAATTTAAAAAAAAAATATATATATTTTAATCTTAAGATAGTAAATATGATTTGTAAATTGGTAAAAATATAATACATAAAATTAAAAAAGAAAAAGAAAAAATAGTTTAACCTAAAGATAAAAATTGATATACGGAATAAATATGAGATAGGAATCAGTTCTAATCAATCTCTGGCTATTGTTATATAATCTATGACTAAAAGAAAAAAAAAAAAAAATGTATATAATATACATATATAATATATACGTTAAATGCTTCTATCAACATGAGTGATATTTTGCTACGCAATCATCATACCCCACTTTGGCTACCCATTTTTCAAGGCGCACTGCGTTGTATAAAAAGTCAACTTGGAAAACACCTGAAAGTTGAGCAGGTGGCAGCTTTGTTGTTGTTGTTGTTGTTGCTGGGCAGCCCGCGTGGCTTTTTGCATTTGCAGTTGACATTTAGTGCGACGCTTGCAAGATGCGCCAACAGCAACAACAACAACAACATCAGCAACAATGTGGCAAGACATGAAAGCAGCTCTGGTAGCTCCCCGCTTCAGCTATTTCTCCCCGAAAAAAATAAAAAACAAAGAAAAAGAGCGCGGCATTTGCGGCCGTTTGCTGGATTTGGCCAAAATGTCTATAGTTCAATTGCTGATATTTGACTGTGGCACACGAAAAAGCCGAAAACACAAAACACGTGACCTATGCGAGGCAACCGCAAAGCGGCTCAGCCGATTGCATGCAATAGAAATGGACGCGTGACACGCAACACGATGTGCATAGGATTTAATAATAAAACTAATAATAACAGTAGAAGTAATAATAATAATAATGATAATAATAATAACAATAACAATCATATCGAGTTTGTGGTACAAATTGTTGCTTAATTCGATTTGCACTCGAGTGTGCAGTTCTCGAGCTAGAGATGGTTGCGTGACACGCGATAGTTCGTGAGAAATGCATATAGACTAGTAGATATATATATCATATATACCATATGCGATATATATGTAAAGGAAGTGGGCATGTCAGCATAAATATTGCTAGGGATTTGAAATTTGTATCTCATATATGACTATAGGGGGCGTGGCAGAGTGCAAAAGATATACTCTAAGGCTGGATGCTGATATACGATTCGGAACTTAATACAATTCGTTGCGCTGCTTTATGGATGATCTGAAAAGATATATGACGATTCTTTTGGGGCGTAGCATATCGAAAATAAAATAATCCGGAAATAACTAAATCTAAATTTTGGAGCTAGAGATCTTAAATGTGACATTTAAATTATTTTGAAATACTTCCAGAATGTTTTTACAAAAAAAAAAAAAAAAAAAAAAAAAAAAAAAAATAATAATAATAATAAATAAAATTATATATATAAATTATAATAAGAGAGCCATAAATATACCAAAAATATAAATTATAAAAAAAATTAAAATTACAATGAAAATCTAATATAAATTTATAAAATTATATTTTAACAATTTTATTTAACTACTTTATCTTGTTGATATCCCTAATCCTTCATTAGCCCATATCACGCGCTCATCTCTAGCTATTAGCCAACTCAAATGCTGATGCGCTACACACCGGCAATGCTTAAATGGCTAATGAATTGTACGCGCTTTGCCAGCAATATAAATCTTAGAGAGAGACTCGGACTCTGACTCGGACTCGGACTGTGAAAAAAAGTGTGTGAAATGCATTCAGAATTGGATTGGACATAAATGAAGGTTGACTTTATTGCTGCAGCAGCAGTAATTGTTGCCAGTTGTTGTTGTTGTTGTTGTTGTTGTTGTCGCCATGCAAATTGGGCTCACGTTTTGCGCATTAAGCCGCCGCAGCAGCAGCGGCAATTGCAGCAAATGATTGAGTTCTCCGCACCTGGTGGCAATTGCCAGCATATCTCTAATATTGGTCAAATAAAGGTGGGGTGCGGCTGGCTGGGGCGGGGGGGTGCCACTTTTTGCTAATTGGCTCGACCCGAACGCAGCTCAATTAGCCAAATAATGGACAAACATGAATAGCTTAGCCGGCTGATGGAACAGCTTTTGATCTTAACAGCAAAAATATTTACCGTAACGCACAGATTAAAAGGCAACTTGCAGTTGTTGTTGTTGTTGTTGTTGTTGCTGTTGCTGCTGTTGTTGCTGCTGTTGCTGCTGCAGTTGCAGTTGCAATTGCATTTTGCTATCAGTATCAATAGTAATTTCAAGTTTCACTCGCCACAAAACTTGACAGGCGGCCCAGCTTTGGGGGCATGGCCAACCAACTGGGACTCTCTGCTGCACATGCCAGTGTCGTAGGTCAGGCCAGCCAAGCAAGCCAAGCCAATGCAAGTCAAGCAGACAGAGGCAGTCAAACAGCAGCAGCAGCAGCAGCAGCAGCAGCAGCAGCAGCAGTCCACAAAATGTGTCTGCGATTGCGGCTGTTTTTCAACTGCAATTTGTGGCCCAGGATTTGGCATGTCGATGCAGTTGCAACGGCAACAACAACAACAACAACGATGACGATTTGTAGCCAATTATTTCAAATATTGTATTGAAATTGTATGGCAGAGTGTGTGGCTATCTCTAGCCAAGCATCTTGTGTACAAGGCGCACGTAGTTCGCTTCGAGTGTGTCAAAGTGGCCACTCGAAGTCAACGGCGACGGCGACGGCGACGGCGACTGAGGCTGCGACTGCGGCTGCTGCTGCGGCTGCTGGCCCATGGTCAGCATTTGACATTGCAGAGGTTAGAATCATAGACACTTCCCATGCCTGATGCGCAATTCTCATATGTATATACATATAAATATATATATATACGCCATGATTAATCATCAGCCAATCATAGTTCTTGTTGTTGTTCGGTCACGTCAACTTTCGACTTCATCAAGCAGAATGGAGACGCACGCGCCCATTGACCTTTGCCGGCAGCAGGTGCAACAGCATATTTATATTTAGCAGCGCTTGCATCACAACTGGGATTTGTCATTACCCAGAAGAACAAAAGAAAATGTAGAAATATAAATGAAATAAAGAAAAACGTGATAAAGTCAATTTATGGCTTAAGCGTTGCTCAAGCATAAACAAAGCTATAAATTTAATAATTAAATTATGTATATTTAGTAAGAAATTAGCTTATATTTACATTCTATTATGCACACACTTATCTAAGATTATGCATTTATTAAACAAGTAACTCAAATTAACTCACTCTTTTTTCACTCAACATACACGAGAATGCTTTATTCCACTCAAAGGATTCCGTTATAAGCTCAAACAGTAGGCAGGCATTAAATACAACAGAGCGAGGGTAAGAGTGAATACGATGGCAGGGAGAGACAACTCATGCATAAATTCGCTGCAGCTTTTGATCCCGTTACAGTTTTAATTGTTCTGCGCTCAGCGTATGCGCGAGAGCATTTAGTCTGTGCGCGTCTGTCCTTTTAATCGCTTGTGTGGGTGCGCGTGTGTGCATAGTCAGTGATTTTCTCTTTTACTTTTTTAAAACAGATAGATGGAAAGTGCTTCAAATGTGTTAAACGCATTTAGTTCGTGCTGTTTGTGTTTATTAAGTACTTAAAGATAACTAGCACACAGTAACCCGGCTGCATGGGCTACTTGTGAAAAAATCACATTCACACGCACAATACGGAGCTAGTCTTATATACATATGTAGGTGTGAGTGCATGTGGGTGCATGGCGAACAATTAAAAAAGAGAATAGTGTTTAGCAAAACATTTAAAAACGAGAGAGATTTTGAATTACAGTGGAGTAGAATTCAAGTTCGAGTTTGCCGAAAATGTGATTAAAATTATTCTTTGGCTAATCAGATGTAAATTATACCAGCACTATAATAATTAATTGCGTTTGCTAAACATGAAGTATTTTGCCATAAACCGCAAGGCGCTGTAAATGCGACCATGAAAAAAATGATATTTTTCCACTGTTGGGACATTTTTTGCGAATAAGAGCAGCAGAGAGAGTAAGAGAGTAAGAGGTAATTTTTATGCCCACAATGCTTGTCTTTGAACGAAATGCCTTTGATCCCATTTGACGTGTGCATGGCGTGGGCACAAAAAGAGTTTTAATAGCTGTGTGCTTTGTCGGCTTAGCGTAGGCGCGAGGGAAATTTAGTTTGTGCACTTCGGTCCTTTTAATCGCTGGCAGATTAACGCGTGTGTCAAAGTTTTTGTTGTGATTAATTAAAACTTCCCAAAGTGTGCTGAAATCGTGTGTGTTTATAAAGTACTAAATAGTTCAGAATGCAGGTCAGTATTACATTAATTTACTTATGTATATTTAAATATGTATTTACGTAAAACTGCACACACACATTTAATTCCCCTATTAGTGCGAATACGAGTTAGCTAGTTTTACATACATGCAAGCCAATCTACGTATGTGTGTATGTATGCTTATTGCGTAAAGTAAATTGAGTGCTAGAAAAAGACCAGGAGGACGAAAGTAGAATGAGAGGCAAAGTAAGCGAATAAACAGGAGTATGAACACTGGCAATGCAGTGACCTTCGTAGATAATTGTATTTATTTTCGCATTTCATGACATTACGGCAACGCTTAGAGGGACGATGTGTTGAGCGAAAGAGAAAGAGAGAGGCGGACAGATGGGGAGGTGACTGGTTAATGTGTCCGCTGCGATTTCCTTCCGTTTGAATTGAAGATGGCGTAAAGAGTAATGAATGCTTATCGTAGTTGCAAGCAGAGAGAGATAGAGAGAGACAGAGAGAGCTAGAGAATGAATTAGCGTGTACACAGGTATTTAATATATTAATTGCCGAAGACAGACAAAGAGTGAAAGAGAGTTTTTATTATGATTAACAGAATGTTCTTATTTGTATCGAATTTACTGTTTGAAAAGATGATAAACGCAGGATGAGGTAATTTTATGTATTAAAGCATCAGTATGTATAGAATATAATGAAATATAATAAAGAAATATCTCTCCGACAGTATTTTATCTTTAACGTGCCACAGCTATTCTCTATCTATTACTTCTTGGCTAGTTCCAATGCAATTCTTAAAAGTCCTGAGAATTTAAAGTACTTAAACTGTTAGCTAACCACAATTCCATGTAATGTCTTACACATGCTTCTCCTATGTTTAAATCTATTCAAAATGCAAAGGCACGATTGCCAGCAACAACAACAGCAACAATGACAACGACAACAATAGCGACAACTGTGAGCAATAACCGGGTAAGAATGTGGCGTTAAATGTGTTTGGTAATATTTATATTAATACCTTATTAGAAGAGTCGTCAATGTGGTCGATGACAGCGCCAAAGCCCAACCCAAAGCAAAAACCAAAGAACGTCCAAGTCAGAATCGAGTGTGGAGAATATCAATGAGTAGAAGCTTTGCCCAAGTGCTACTCAGTTGGTGTTTTGTGGCTAAGACGACACAGACGACAATTGCATTTCCGCCTAATTGTTGGCCCATGGCGACAATGTAACAATGCAGCAAGAGGCTTTTGGCCTACGACTTGAGTGGAGCTGCAGGAAATGCAATCATAAATCGCGCCGTTGGTAATTTGCCATATCTATATAGACAGTAAAGACGACAGACAGAGAGAGAGAGAGTCAGATAGAGTAGAGTAGAGTGAGTGTACAGAGTGTACAGCAATTTTAATGCTGCGGCAATTAGCCTGGTCAGTGGCCAATACGGCATTCGGACAGGGCCTAAACCAGGAAATGTTTTGGCCAAAACACTTGTCAGATTGCATGTTCAATTCTAATAATATAATTTTTGTATACACTAGCAAAGGTTATACTACCTTTGTGATGAAATAGGTAACGCTTGACGAATTGAACAATAAATAAAATGAAAATTATTTAAATTTATACATATATGAAATAAATAAAATAAATTTAATAAAAAATAAGCAAATGAATAAAGAAATAAAATAAATAATAAATACCTACAAATTTAAACTAGTTTAATTATTTATAATTATCATTTTTGTGGGGAAAGGGCATTTAATATTCTTATATATAATTTAGTTGTTCTTTATTTTTATAGCATTTAACTGCAGCTCTGACGATCTGCATGCCAATGTGCAGCATATTGTGTCCCAAGCTATCGACATTGATGCTTCTTCTTCCTTTCTCTCTCTCTCTCTCTCTCTTGCTTTCTGGACCTGGTGTCTGTATTACAACATCATTAGAATTTGATTTGCATTTCCTTGGATGCCGTAGCTCTAACATGGCATTAAAGCCCATTTAGCTGTCGTGTGGCAATTATTGATCAACAAGGTGCCACAATCGCTCAGCACGGTCAGTTGCTTTGCAGTTGCAGCGGTTGCTGTTGTTGTTGTTGCTGTTGTTGCCATTCCTGCTGGTGGTCAAGAGCGACAGCAAAGATTTACATAAAGAAAAGAAGTTGGGAATAAGTAAGAGTGTTGATGATGGTGTGTGTTAAACTTAAGAAATACCCTGAAAATACCCAAGCATAGATGTTTAACAGATATTAAAGATGGCTTGCAATCTATTATCGAATATAAATTCTTTAAAAAGAACACTTGATTAGAAGAGATCGACAAGAATACGGAATAGGGAATGAAAAAGGAATAGCGAATGAATAAGGAATAGGGAAAGAATGGAGAAATGGAGGGAAAGACAAACGAATAGACAGATCATAAGCTTTATATAAATAGATCAGATAAAGTTAAATACTTAATAGAAAAGTAAAAAATAAAAGTAATACAATAATAATAACAATAAACCAATATACCCTCATTAACCATTATCAATAGTGCACAGGGTATAAAAAGTAAAAATAAAACGTTGCCCAGCATGAAATGCCTTTGGATTGTTTTTCTTTGTAGCATTTTCCTTTTTTCTTTTTTTTTTTTTTTTGTTTGAGCCGTTGTTGAATGTTACCTTGCAACAGGCTGTGGCAAGTTAGTTGGCCATTAGCACGGCACAACAGATATTGTCGTCGTCTATTCGTTTGTTGACTGACGTTTAGCTGCCACTGCCACTGCCACTGTGCAGAAATGCCGTTACGCGCAGCCCTTGTTGCAACAACAGCTGCCACACAGCTGTACCTCACTCGAGCTGCGTTTAAATATTTATGTCTCGTTCACTTAAGTTAATCACAGCCAAATGTTAAGCCTGGCTGCCCGGCTGGACAGCTAAACTGGTCAACAGTTTAAATCATTTTCCCCCTCTTTTATTTATTTATGTGGCCAAAGTGTCATTGTGGCATTTGCCTGGCTGTTGAGTTGTTGAAACTTTCATTGTTCGCTGGTCAAAAATATTTTAATTATTTAATGTTGATTGTATTTACGACGAGAGAGAAAAGCCTATAAATATTATGCCTTTGTCAATAAAATATGATAGAGGGAAAATGGTAAATATATATATAGTTGTATAGAGCATGCGAGCTATGTTCGGGTGGCTGATTTAATGGCACTTGTCGTAGCTTGTTTTCGACTTGTATTTATTGGGTAAATAGGAATAAAGCTAAAATTGCAAAAAATATCATCAAAAACTGGAAAATGGAATATAGACTTATCTGAGATACATATATGACATAAATATAATATAAAATATTAAAAAAAATAAAAATAAATAAAAAATAAATAAAAACAATTAAAATAAGAAAGAATGAAAATAAAAAAATTTAAAAATAGAATAAAATTAATAAAAAAAAAAAAATTAAAATAATATAAAAAATAAAATAATATAAAAAAAAATAAATAAAATTCATATATTACATTAAAAAATATTATAAAATAAAATATAATATAATCTAATAAAAAATAAAAATTAAAGAATATTAAATGTATAAACTATATAAAATATTAACAAATTATAAGAATTTCCACTAAAATTTAGCTCATTTTATACCATGAGCAAGCCTTAGACATTCGATTACGCCGTTCTAACTAGTTTTTTTTTAGATAAAATTTATTTATTTATTTATGCGAATAGTGCAAATTTAGCAAAAAAAAAAAAAAACAAAAATATTAGAGCCAACAAATATATAGAGTGCAGCTCCAAACATGTACAACAGACACTTGCGACAAAGAACAAATGGAACAACAACAATAATAACAACGGCGAGAATAACAACAAACAACAACGGCGACAACAGAGCAACAACAAAGCAGCGATAATAATAACAATGCCAATGCTAAGGACCCATAAATATGGCTTTAAAATCGCATGTTGCGGCTGCCCATTGTTGTTGTTGTTGTTGCTGCTGAAGTTGTTCTAATACACTAACTAAACTGGAGTTTGGGTTTACTCTATAGATTTTGTAACATTTCAGTTATGGTTGAAAAGTATCGTGTTATTTGCTTTGAGTAGATACTACTATTTTCATGAATTTACTACTACTTGCAGTACACCTTACTCTTTTAATAACAACACTGCCATTTTTATGATGACATATAATATTCATGCACAGATTACTTTCTTCTTCTACTACTACTACTACTATTTTCATAAACATTCATGCACATACTACTATTTCAATACTATTTTCACGAATTTACTACCATTGGCATGATCACCTTACTGTTTTTATAAACACACGATTTCAGTTATATACTACTATTTTCATGAACCTACTACCGTTTTCAAGACATCACTTCTAGTAGTAGCTACTACTATTTGCAATTTTTGGAATTCCTGGGGAACTTTTTCAGCACACCTTTTACTGTTGATGATGATTAGCTTCGCCCATTGCTCTAAGTAAGTGTATTTGGTCTGCGGCTTGTCAACAATTATTGCCAGCAGCAATTGCAGCTGTTGCGCTGTTATTGTCGTAGTTGTTGTTGTTGCTGTTGTTGCTGCTGTTGTCGTCGGCATTTGTTTGTTTAGCTTGGCGTGTGGCATCGTTGTTGCATTTCATTAATTTACGATTATTGACAAAAATATACACACATACACACACACACACAAGCACACACAAGCACACACAAATATATGAAAAGAAGGAAAAAATTGTTAAAGCCAGCTGGCTGGCATTTGCCTTTAGCATTGGCTTTGACCATTTTTGGGATAAAAAACGTTTGCAGATTAGAAGCCAATTTGGTGTGAAGTCTTGGGCTAACGGCAGCTGGCAGTGCATCAATCAATGCAGTCAGCCCAGGAAGTTGAGGCCAAAGACGGAGAGGACAAAGCTGACCTTGCAATAAGGAAGCGGCATTCGTCAATGTCCCAAGCAGCAGCAGCAGCAGCAGCAACTGCAGCAGCAGAAGAAGAAGAAAAAGCAGCAGCAGCAAAAGTTGAGCCAAAGAAAAT